TAGTTTTTCATGGACAGATATTCTGGCTGTGTTCAAATGTAATGATAAACTACACCATGATGTGAAAGAGCTTATGTCTCATAAATCTCTACTACACTGCCCTCCTCCAGCATGGCCACAATCTGAAGCTTCCTAGGTAGTAAGTAATTGCATTTGTCTGTTGCAGCAAAAGTACGTAAGAGTAAAAACAAGTTTCATTTGGTGTAAGTTTTCATGGATTTCAGACCAGAGGGGTAAGTTTTCATGGATTTCAGCAGATTAACATATGCAACATCAGAAATATTTACTTAACATTTTAAAATAGCCATAGTTTGACACTACATACTAATCTAAATAAAATGTGTCATGTCTCAATAATGGCTACTAATTTAAACCAATTTTTCATACACTAATTTCATTTCATAAATAGTTAAGCCTAAACAGTTTGTTCAGATTCAGAGACAGGAAGACGGAAGCAAACTTTCCCAATTTCCTCTGCCAATGCCAAGAGAGTGCATGGGCCTCAATGTTTTGCATAAAATATTATCCATAATTTAGCTTTACATCCAAACCAGGCCATTCTGTTGGAGCTACATGTCAGCAGTCAAATAAAAAGCAAGGCACTATGCTATCTAGAGGAAATAATTTAAATACCACTAAAAACAATTAACTGCTCAAAATGCTTATTGACCTTAAGTATTAATTTGCTTTTACACAGCAAACAGGTCCAAAATATTACACTTGTATAGTACACTTTTGGCAGTATTTTATAAACCGGACAACTATGCAGAATCTGAGAAAACATAAATGTTTTTACCAGATTGTATTGTGATTTTAGTACAGAACTGAAATTAAATCTGAATTTATACTTATGCAAGGTAAATAATGACAAATTCAGCGTTTTGATCCTGCTTATATACGCCATTATACAATTTATTATTACTTTATAAGGCTGACTGTTCTGCTAATGCTTGCACAGGGAGACAACTACCAACACATTTTGTTTTTTTTTCACTACCCTTAACCTGGACACAACCCAAATGACTGCATCCAATCCATTAAAAATCCTATGCATTATACAATTCCAAGGATAGCTTGAATATCAATCAGTCTCAGCTTATTTCAGCATTATATTCGGAGATCTGCTCACTCTTTATTCCCTGAAAAGATTTGTCCTGTACCATTAAATTAAAAAGAAATGCAAATTGAAGGATATTGAGAAAACTGATGAAGGATTCTCACTGCTGTTTTTCCCTTAGAGCAAAGTATTTACCTGTTAGGTATGTCAAAGAAAAATTTCCCCATGTTTTCAAAGAAAGGTGTAATCTCATCACAATCCATGACAAAACTGTATTGGAAATACAAAATCTGTGTTAGAAATACGATTTTTAGAAAATGTTGTATTATATGGAGTACTAACAAGTATATTTCTTAACAGAATGCCTGTTTTGTACGCACATCTGCTAATAATACTATATTTACACTGAGCTGTATGAATACTCATAATACTATATCAGGAGTATTAATAATACTCCTAATACTACTATATTTCCAATGAACACTCAGGTTGTGCTCACTGGAAGGACAGATCCTGAAGCTGAGGCTCCAATACTTTGGCCATCTCATGAGAAGAGAAGACTCCCTGGAAAAGACCCTGATGTTGGGAAAGTCTGAAGGCAAGAAGAGAAGGGGACGACAGGATGAGATGGTTGGACAGTGTCATCGAAGCGACCAACATGAATTTGACCAAACTCTGTGAGGCAGTGGAAGACAGGTGGTGTTCTGGAACATGGAGTCACAGAGAGTTAGACATGACTTAATGACTAAACAACATACAACTAATTTGAAAACAAAACACTGCTGTTTAAAGAACACAAAACAGTAAACATTTCTCCACTAATTTTATCACTCTCGTGTACTGAGTCAAACAAGCTTCTGAATTAGAGGGCATTTCTGAATTTCTGACTCTTATGAGAATTCCAACATACTGCTGGCATGCAACAGTTCCATGTCAAAAGTAATATCTGTGAGGGGAGAAAAAAATTACTAAACCTTAATCTACACAGATTCAGAAAACCCAAGTGGAGAATAAAACCTAATAAACTCATATAAAATATAACAAAATTAAAAGCTGCAATCCTTGCACTGGGGGATATTTCTTGACCCCAGTGAATTTCAAAGCCTCTTACGATACAAAATATTTGAATTCCCATGTAGGGGATGAATTTACCGACAACTAAGTGTGACACTTCTACTTTCATGCAGAATGCTTTGGTACAAAAATGGCACAGGACAATTGGGGGGGGGGGAACAGGTTACAAAAATATATTCCAATGGCAATAAATAAACAAATGAAATAAAAAAGTCAGATTTAGTAGAATATTCGTGCCCTGCTGGTTTTTTTGTCTACAAGAGAAACTTGGGTTTTTTAAAAAATCCTCATCAATTTCTCTCCAGCTCATTAACCAGGCAGAATTCTAGACTTTATGTGCACTCTATAAAATATACAGTCAACCCTCAATTTACAAACTTAATCCGTTCCAGAAGGAAATTTGTAAGTCGAAATGTTCGTAAGTCAAATCAGCATTTCCCATAGAAATGCACTGAAAACCAATTAATCCATTCCGGCTGTTTTTGGTTCTTAGGTAGAGGGGCAGTTTGTATCTCAAATCATTAGTTTCCATAGGAACTAATGCAAAGCCAGTTAATCCATTCCTACCACTAGGGGCAGAATTTTTTCTTTTCCCCCTCCTAACCTAAGACTTAGGTTAAAAAAAGGAAAGAAAAGAGGGAGGGAAGGAGGGAACAGACACCTTTTCAACAGAACACCTTGAAAAGCACCTTTTCAGCCAAGACAAGCATCTTCAGGGAAAAACCAAGCACCTTCAGACAACAGATCACCTTGAAAAAAACCTTTTCAATCAGGACAAGCCAACACAAGCACCTTTTGGGGGGAAAGGGGGCAGCAAAGGAGGGAACACCTTTTAAAAATCCAAAAATAAAAACAACCCAAAAATAAAAAAATCCAAAAAATAAAAATACAGTCCGTACAGCACTGTATCAGGCAATACCAGGCAGTACCAAGCAGTCTAAAGACTGTCTCCAAATCCACTCTCAAAATGCTGGGAAGAGCGAGGAAGCAGACAGGCACCCTCTTCAATGGCCAACGGTTAACTGAAAGTTCAAATTTCACGCTTTCCCCACCTCTTGTGCATTTTTTTCGGTTCGTAACTCGAATCTAAGTTTGCAAGTTGAGTCAATATTTTTCAATCAGAGTGGTTTGTAAGTCGAAATTTTTGTAACTAGGGCCGTTTGTAAGTCGAAGGTTGACTGTACTGTATATGGTTTGGTTGTTGTGGGTTATTCGGGCTTTTTGGCCATGTTCTGAAGGTTGTTCTTCCTAACGTTTCACCAGTCTCTGTGGCTGGCATTTTCAGAGGAGAGCACTCTGTGCTCTGGGGTGCAGTTTCTTTGGGAGTTGAGTATTTATGGCTGGGAGATCAGCTTTTGTCCTTTTCAGGAGATGGGTGATTATGGTGATCAGTGTGTCTTCGTTGTGGGTGAATTGTTGTGATAAGATAGATTATCTGTTACTGTGATTGATGGGTGTCATTAGCTGGTCTTTGTGTGTAGTGATCACCCGTCCTTGTGGCTGTGTAGAGTTTGTTGAGCTGATCTCCCAGCCATAAATACTCAACTCCCAAACTGCACCAGAGCACAGAGTGCTGTTCTTGAAGATGCCAGCCACAGAGACTGGCAAAATGTTAGGAAGAACAACCTTCCAAACATGGCCAAAGAGCCTGAAAAATCCACAACAACCATTAGATCCTGGCCGTGAAAGCCTTCGCAAATATATATATGGTTTCTTCTTTTATCATCCTTCGCAAGTTCATTATATTTCTTTAGGATTTAATATTTTGTAATCCAGTGTTCATTTGAATATCCTATTACATTTGACTGTCCTTACTCCATAGCAGTAATTCGGCTAGATTCCAAAGGTCAAACTCAAAAGAGAAGTATGGAAATCAATGGAACCCAAGTTAGACATCACTAGATTATACGACTAATTCCAGTGGATATGACTACAGGATACAAACCATTATGGCATTCATAAAATGGCTTTAAATGCATTCTTTATGAATGCATAATGACAACTAATTCACAGTAGCTTACCATGGAAGTGATCTTTTTTTCAGATTGTCTAGTTTTAAAACTTGTTCCTCAATTGTCATTTGTAAATCACGGATAACCTGGAATAACATAATTATTTGTGTAATTTACGGTGCAAAATAGCAATTACCAGTGACGGAGGAACACAGCCTTAAATGTTGGAATTGCTATTTACATAACATTAATTACTTTATGCCAACCCAAGTTATGCACAGAAGACATGTAAAACCTACATGAGCAACCATTTAACATTCAGATTATTTAAAAACTATAGAATATAAGTGATTGATTAACTAAATTGTGTTCTGCATCTCTTTCTACTGTAAGCTTCTTTTCCAGAGCTTTGTAAGGCTGGCTAACTGAAAGGGGTTTTAAATGGACTGTTATGTCTTGTTGCCTTGAAATTGTTTCTGGTGTTGATTTTGTTTACCCTTTTAAGTGTGCTATTTGTTTCGATTCTTTTTTAAGTATTTGTATACTTACTGGATTCAAATTTTAAATATCGTCTTTTTAACGATGTAAGCCGTCTTGGGCTCTTTTAAGGAGGCAGAGTAAAAATATTTCAAATAAATAAATAATATGCGTACCAAAGGCAAACAGCCATGCCACCTTTTGAGCAGAGAATAGTATATAAGTGAAGAGTATACAGTGGTGCGTCGCTTAGGGATGTTAATCCGTGCAGCAAAAATCGCTGCTAAGCGATCTTAAAAAGCCCATAGAAAGGCATTAAAACCTGTTTAATGCATTCTTATGGGCTTGAAAACTAACCTTAAGTGAAAATCCTCCTTTGCGGCGGCCATTTTCGATGCCTCTAAAGTGAGGCAACACAGCGCACGGCCATTTTGGAACTGCGATCAGCTGTTAAAAAATCATCGCTGTGCGATGATCGGTAAGCGAAACAGGGTACCGATCGTTGCAAAGCGATTTTTCCCCATTTAAAACATCGCAATGCGATCGCAAAAAGTTCATTGGTATGCGGTTTCATCGCTAAATGGAGCGCCTGTTAAGCAAGGCACTACTGTATAAGGAAAAAATAAACATGGATTTGGATCAATGTTTGTGTTTTGTTTCTGGCCTTTAATAAAGCAAGGAAAAGAAGTAGGAACACAGAATTCAGTACTGATTTGACGGAGAATAAGACTTGGGACTATTTATCAGCAGCCTCTCTTGTTCTTGAGATAATTATAAAACAGCCAACTTTTTCCTACTATGTTCTGTAACTCTATAGTGTTTTCTTTCTTGCAGCCATTCACAGGCTGGAAAATTCCCTATGAAGGCAGGCTAGGCTACCCAAGCCTAGCCCTCTACCTTTTGTCCTTCTACCAATAGGTAAAGACCTTTTTTCTTGTAGCAAGTGTTTGGCAATTGCTTAGCTCCTAAGAAGGGAGCTTTTAAACCAAGCAGGCACTATCTGGTCTTTTTAATTTTTTTTATTTCATGTTTGAATTATGTTTTTCAACTTAATTGTATTTTAATATCTGAACATATACAGTGGTGCCTCACTTGAAGAGGATAAATCAGTGTGTCACTGTAGAACGAAATCCTCATCAAGCGAAATTCAAAATCCAATTGAAATGCATTGAAAACCGATTCAATGTGTTCCAATGGGTGAAATATCTCAGCGTCCAGCAAAGATCCTTCATACGGCGGCCATTTTCCGGTGCATGTCTTGCGAAAAAGCCTTCCTAAACACAGCAGGGAGCCATTTTGCACAGCGGGTGGTCATTTTGAAACCCAACAATCAGCTGATCGTTGTAAAGCGAAAAATCGGTTCCTGAAGCAGGGAACCGATGATCATAAAGCAAATTTTCCCTATCTAAACATCGTTTTGCATTCACAAAAGCAATCACAAAAAACCACATCATTACCATCTAACAAGGTAATCGTCAAGCGGGGCACCACTGTATGTTTCAACTGTATTTTACTCAATCTTATCATGGGCTGCCTAGAATCTCATTTTTGGAAAATTGATGGACGCAAAATCCAATAAACAAATAAATGTTATTGTGCTGGTGATCACATTGTACATTTTACTGAATGCTTTCCACAATCTTGCACACTGCTTCAGGCAAATGCATAACTTATAAATATTACATATTTTAAAATGTGTCTTTTCCATTATAGCCTCTACTGTTAACATTACCTTTCTGGAAACAAGGAAACTATAGTGGAAAAATCCTGAACTCACAGTTTTGACATGATTCCAAAGGAGAAAAAGACGATGCAGAAGATTCATTAATCCTACCTGCTCGGAAATGTTTATCTTTGGTTTGTAAGACAGCTACAGAGCAAACAGATCAACTTCATATTACCATATAAAAGAATTAACTGCTGGTAGAAAATACTAATACAAAAAGGTTGGCCCAGTAGCTTTGTCACTGATTAGTTCATACCAAAGTCTTCAGAAGCTGATTGGAAATGTGGCTTGTATTACTGAGATTTGTAGAACCCACCAGAAAAGCAAAGAAATAATTACCTGATATAAATTATCACAAGATTTTAAGGAGCGATTTGCCATCATCTGCTTTACTACCTTTATGGCTCCATCCAAACTGCTTCTCTTCTGCGAAACTGAGACTTGAACACCATGTACAGCAGTTATATAGTAACTGGTGTTCGTTACCAATTCTGTCTCTAGCTTCCTTTTCCTAATGAGAAACAAAAATAAACTAGATGTCAGGAAAAATAATCATATACTACAGAAGAGAGTTCACATGGTGTACAAGAATGACTATCTTCATGAGCCTTTTTCTTCTTCTAATTTTTTTTCTTCTAATGTGTCTTGTATTTTCAGATGGTAAGCCTGAGATGAGGCACACTGTATTTTTAAAAGAATACTACCCTCTAAACAAGCAAATTACTCTGAAACAATGCATGTCATGTTAATAGTTGTGTTCCCATACATCAAAGGAACATCTCTCCATGACCTGCTTTTCCTGTTCTTAACACTCCCAAGCTGAACCAGGTTAAATGAACGCTTTATGCCCTGCATTCATGGTAGAAAAAGTTTTATCAACGAACCATTAAGATACTAAGGGCAAGAGATTTGCTAATCAAATTCACAGCAGGCTAAAAACACTTGAATACCTCCCTACAGAATTCGCAAAGGAAATAGAAATAGAAGAAAAAAATTCTGAAAGCAGAACACTAGAAGTCAGGCATAAAATATTATTGTCTGTGCTGCACTTGCTCTCATTTAATCATTCGTAAAGGAACACAGCAAAGCATTACATTAAGGCCCACGGTTCTATCTGATGGGACAACATAACATTGCATTTGATGGTCAAGCTCTTATTTGACAGGAACCCCACAGAGGGCAAACAATTTGCCCCCTGAGCTCACAGGTTCACTCAGCCTTCCCAAGGATCTCTAGTAAGATGGGTACAGGTTGGAGGCTGGGTTACAATTGGCTACCTCTACTAAAAAACAGTCCATTTTCTTGTCTTATAAAGGCAAGCATGTTGATAATGTTATAACTAACATTTTGGCAACAAAGAAGTGAAATCAGAGAGAAGCCAATCTTTTTAGAATTACGGTTTTCACATTAATACTGAATATTAGAATACAAATTTTAATCCTGTTACCTTGCATTTAGAGAAGTGACAATCTCTGCAAACTTTGCATTAATAACACCCGCAATTCTGCCTTCTTCCAGCTTTGCTTCTGCTACCAAATCCTGAAGCATCTTTCTCGGTGGGATGGGAACACAACAGTTAAAACACAAATCTACTAGGTATTCTTCTTGAAGTAGCACCATTCAGAAGTACAACTAGGGTAATAACACAAATAAAAAGTGGGTTTACTTACCTGTAACCATTGTTCTTCAAGTGGACCTCTGTGAATGCACACAATAGGGTTCAGACTGCGCCTGTGCAGGAATTCTCAAAAGATTCCAGAGCTTCTGGAAAAAATTACATAGCTGAGAGTTACCCCTATAGCGAATGCTCCGCCCACCTCAGCCCTCAGTTCCGTTTTATCCGCCATAATAAACTGAAGGTACGGCTCAGGAGTTACAGATAGAGGGGAGGTAGGGCGGGATGTGTGAATTCACAGAGAAGAACAATGGTTACAGGTAAGTAACCCCACTTTCTTCACTGTGGCCTTTGTGAATGCACATAATAGGGTGATTAGCAAGCTCACTTACCAGGAGGAGGGACGTTACTCCAGGACAGACATCAATATAGCTCTCCCAAATTTAGCCTCATTTTTGGCCCTTAGGTCGAGTCTATAATGTGTCACAAATGTGGACGCTGTTGATCATATGGCTGCTCTGCAAATGTCAGGAATGTCAACACCCCGGGGTAGTGCTGTAAAGGTGGCAATAGCCCTAACAGAATGGGCTTTTAGACCTTCTGGAGGGACAGAGCCTGTGAGTTCATAAGCCAGAGCCACAGTTGAAACGAGCCACCTGGAGATTGTGGAGGAGGATGCTGGAAATCCCTTGCGAGGCCCATAAAAACACAAGAAAAGTCTGGGAGAGGATCGAAACTCCTTGGTCCTTGGTGTGTAGAACGCCAGGGGCCTAAGCACATCCAGGGAGTGTAGCATCTTTTTTGTATCCGAAGATGGGATAGGAAACAACGTGGGTAGGATTAGTGGTTGATTCATATGGAAATCAGAGACCACCTTCGGAAGGAATAACACATCCAGATAAAGGATAACCTTCTCACGGAAAAACTGTACATAAGGTGAGTCTGCTCTCAAAGCCGCAAGCTCACTAGAAAAATAGAGTGATAAATGCTGCCTGCATTCTGAGTACGCAGATGGAGGTAATTTTACAAATTCTGACACCAGCTGAAGCAGTGCCGTGAACCATGGCTGGCGCGACCAGCATGGAGCTACTAATATTGCATTGGCTCCTGTTTGGCGAATTTTGTTCAGAGTCTTTTGTATGACAGGAAAGGGTGGAAACAGATATAGCAAGTCCTTGCCCCATGGGGTCATGAAGGCGTCTCCCAGAGAGTTGGGAGACCTGTTCGCATGTGAACAGAATAGGGTGCATTTCTTGTTCTGATTGGTCGCAAATACATTAATCAAAGGATGACCCCACCTCTGACAGATGGAATGAAACGTGGGTGTGTCGAGTTCCCACTCGTGGCTTTGTGTTGTCATGCAGCTCATGCGGTGGATACATGGATCGCCACACAGAACACGTGATGGGTGTAACATCATTCTCATAGATCCACTGTGAGGTACAGGAGAGACATCGATTTCGTGCCTCCCTGCTTGTTGATATAAAATACCGTTGTGGTATTGTCGGATACCACTTGCACTTCATGACCTGTGAGAAGAAGAAGAAAGGCACGGAAGGCTTTTATTACTGCCAGCAGTTCTAGATGGTTTATGTGCAGACGCCTTTCTCGTCTGGTCCACAATGCATGGATCTTGTGATGGCCACAATGCACACCCCAGCCCGTGAGGCTGGCATCTGTCATGACTTGGATAAAGAGATTAAGTGGGCGGAACGGACGACCTATCGTTAGGTGAGGGAAGAAAGTCCACCATTCGAGTTATTTTGCAAGTTCTGGAGTGACACGAAGACACATGTTTTGGCTGTCTAGCATGGGATCAAACTGTGCTAAGAACCAGGCTTGAAGTGAACGCATTTTGAGCTGTGCATGTGATAAGGCAGATGTCGTTGAGGCCATCAGGCCTAGTAGGTGTTGAGAGTGATGTGCTGAGACACTGGAGTGTTTCATTGCTTTGACAATTTTCTGAATGTGTTCTGTTGGAAGAAAAATGCGAGCATTCACCGAGTTGATTCTCACACCGATGTAATCCATGGTTTGAGAAGGCATGAGATGGGATTTCATTGTGTTGATCTTCAGACCGAGTCTTTGCAGGGTGTCCAGAACCAATTCTGTTATCCCGAATGGCCTTTTGCTAAGAGTCCGCTACTACTAGCCAATCGTCTATGTACGGGTAAATCGTGATTTTGTTGAGTCAGAGATATGCTGCTATGAGAGCCATACACTTTGTAAATGTGCGAGGAGTGGTGGACAGACCGAAGGCGAGCGCGGTAAATTGATAAGTGGAATTTATGAAGATAAAACGTAGGTATTTTTGATGAAGTGGATGAATGGATATATGAAAATATGAAAATATGCATCTTGCAAGTCTATGATGGCGAACCAATCGTTTTGTTTTAACAGGGGTATGACTATGTAACCATGTGATTTGATTCCCCGTCCTTTTTTGGCACCGCGAAGTAACAGGAGTAGAAGCCATCCATGATGTTTTGTTCTGATACCAGTTAGGTGGCATGTTTTTGAAGTAGTGTTGTAATTTCTTCGTCTAGGGCTGATGAGAACGGTGTGAATTTTAGAAGTCCTAATGGGGGAAGATTTGCAAATTCTAGACAATAACCAAATTGAATGATGCTTAGAATTCATGCATCCTTTGTAATTTGTGACCAATTTTGGATGGAGAGATAGACGAGTGGTTAGAGGGGGTCTTATACAGTATGTTGGACCGAAGTCAAAGATACTGTTTTGTATTTTTCAGGGAAGGGCGGAAGGATTGACACCTCTGTAAAGATGTCTGGGATCTGAATGGAGTAGACGTAGAAGAGCCCTGAGAAGATCTGCGTTGGCTTTGCTGCTTAAAGGAACAGTAAGGTAGTGACGTTGTCTGATATTGTTGTTGAGTATACGACTTTTGCCATTGGTATCTCTGGTATTTTAGCTGTTATTGAATGGTATAGGATTTTGCTGTTTTCTTTATTTTATGTAAATTTTCCATGGTGTTATCCATCTTCTCATTGAACAGACCTTTGGCATCAAAGGGAAGTTCCCCCATGTGTGTTTTTGCATCCTCTGTTATGCCAGGCATGTCTTCGTAAGGCAATTGCTGATGTCATTGATTTGGAGGCTACACCAGCTGCATGACGAGACGCGAGTCTTTGATGTTTGGCAACTGTCATAGTCTCTGAATAGGTATTGAATAGGAATGTTCTGACCTCTTCTGGGGCTGATTCCAATGTGGGTAATACCTTAGCCCATAACTGGCACTGGTAAGCCCCCATTGCAGCCCGATAATTAGAAACATGCAGCAGGAACGTCACAAAGGAGTACTTTCGGCGACCTAGTATGTCCAACTTCCTGCCTTCTCTGTTTGTTGGAGTAAATTTGGCTTTCCCTCCTGTTTTTGAAATGTTTGATTGTACAATTATAGAGTTAGGTGCCGGATGCTTACTAAGAAAATTTGATTCGACTCCATGCGTTCGGTAGTGATTTTCCACACGACAAGTGACTTGTTTGGAGGATGATGGAAGATTGCAAGACTCTTTAACTAGGTCCATTAAGGCTGGAATAAAGGCGAGACTCAGTAGTGGGGAACGATCTTGATTAATGTTCCCAAAAACTAAGTCATCTTGAGGAGCCGCAGGTTGTTCCACGTCTAGTAGCCTCTGTGCGAGGAGTAGAAGAGGATGTGGAGCTTGTGTCCATGTCGGTAGGTTTTACTGCCAACAAAGTCTTATGCCACAGAAACAACTTTAAGCACTGTTGCCTCGCTTGGAGAGGTTTGGTGAGATTTTTACAATGTCTGCAAGATTGCGGACGGTGAGCCTCCCCTAAGCAAAATAGGCACCGCTCATGACCATCCGAAAACGGGAGCTTACGAGTACAGGTCACACAGCACCTAAAGGGACCTGATGGGGACATAAAGTGAGGGGCCAAATGGACTCACAAAAATAGCCGGTGTGAACAATCCAGGTCAGGAACCATAAAGGAGAACACGACGGGTTATCTTCCGAGAATTCCTGCGCAGGTGCAGTCTGAACCCTATTGCGTACATTCAGAGAGACCACGATGAAGAATGAGTACCTCCTATTCCCTTCTACTGTACTACTTAGTGACAGGCTGATGAAGCTGTAGCAAGGCACACTGCTGCATTATAACCTTTTTTGTTCAACAAAAAGTTATGTTCCATCATCAACATTTCAGGATTCCTTGTCACAAGTGTCGAAACTGCTACCAGTATCAGAAATGTAATCATAATCAACTGCCTTTTGATTGAGAACAATGAGGAACTTCACAAGATCATTAAAGCCATCTTCTAAAACAATACAAACAACTACCACCTTTAGGAAATTAGCATAAGCAAAAAAAACAATCAGAATCAAAAACACAGCAATAGCTAAATACAATTAAAAAGCCCCAAACAGCACAATACATCTAAGAATAATTATCAAAAGAGCAAAATAAATCTTCTCAAGGATGAAGACATGGAATTTTGTCACTACTGAGAAGCAGTGGCATTCTGTGGGTTGCCAGTACCCAAGGCAAGGGAAGTATTGCTTCTCCTAGACCATATGTGTCAAACTCAAGGCCCATGGGCCAAAGCCGGCCCACCAAGCCATTTCATGTGGCCCTTGCAGTGTTGCCGGCTATTGTCTATTACTATATGCAGAAACTTACTTGGTCATCCATAATGCTCCACAAGGATGCTGGGAATCTGCCCAGCAGGACTTCTAATCCCAGCATTCTAAGCAGCAGAGTCAGAAAGTGCATACATCAGGTTTGGGAAATGTAGTCCTCGCTACTGCCCACTTTTGTTCTTACAGATACAACCGGCCCTTTGAAGGTAACCATAATGCCGATGCAACCAAAGATGAAATTGAGTTTGACAACTCTATCCTAAACTGCAGCTCCTGTGTGCATGACACACACACACACCCATCTGGCCACCAACAGGAAGGGCCAGGTAGGGGTTTGGGTTGTAGCAGCCCCACCTGCGCCAGAATTTGGTGGCCAATGGTGGCCGGCTGACTGACTAGCCAGCTGGGTGGGGTCAGCTGGACCGCAGCAGGATACTGGCAACTATAAAAGAAATAATTTCTTGAAATTCTTCTTGATACAAAACATAAGATCAATTTTAAAACATAAGTTAAAATACTTTGCTAGCTAAAACAGAATTCTTGGCTTACGTCTTCCATAGCCTTCAATTGCTTAAGATTGATTTCGGCAACTTCCAAAGCTTTCTCTATATTCTGAAGAGTTCTGCTATCCTGAGAAGTACAAAAGTAACACAAAAGTTAAGATAGTGCTACTTTAAACAAAAAAATCCTCAGCATTCTATTTTAATACATATTCATTAGCTGGTCTTTTGTGTGCAATGACCCCTGGTCCTTGTGGCTGGGTGGAGTTCATTGACCTTTTGCAGACTGTATTTTCCAGTGCTAGGAGCAAAAAAAGACCAGCTAAAGACACCCATCAATCACAGTGACAGATGATCTCTCCCTCTTATCACAACAATACATCCACAACAAAAACACACTGATCACCATCATCAGCCTATCTCCTGAAAAGGACAAAAGCTGTTCCCACAGCTATAAATAGTCAATTATGCAACAAACAACAACAGAGCATGAACTGAGTTCCTACTCCAGTCCTCTGAAGATGCTGGCCACAGATACTGGCAAAACGTCAGGAAGAACAACCTTCAGTACATGACCAAAGAGCCCAAAAAACCCACAACAACCATCAGATCCCGCCCGTGAAAGCCTTAGAGAATACATTTTACAGTATTCTTCTACTTCTCTATTTATATTGGGCCACCAGAATCTTTGCATTACTCTTGAGGTCATTTTCTGTGTAGACAAGTGCCTTGCCATAGGAACATTATGAGCTAACTTCAGAATTGACCCTCTCCATTTCTGAGGCACTGCTAATTGCCTTACCCCTTCCTTATTTACGTGATATAATAATCCTTCCTGTACCTCAAATCCTTCATCGACTTCTTTTACTGTGCCCACCCCCTGAACCTCTTGGAGTGTCCCTTGTAACGTGGGGTCATCTTGTTGCCACAATCACATCCATTGTCATGATGACTCTTTCAAAACATTTTCATCTTCTTGTTTACATTTGCCTTGTAATCCTTCTCTTTAATTTATCAACTGATGAGCTCCTACCCAATCTTTCCCCAATAACATTTCTTTTGATAATCCTGGTGTGACAAACCCAGACCTACTGGGATATGTCACACAGTTACACTAAGCTGCCACCAACCATTCCCTATAAAAAGTCACACAGACCAGGGATGGATTTTCAAACAATAAAAGAATAAGGTTTATTTAAATACAACACACAGGAAAATAAAACAATCAGGTGAATAAGGTAAAGTAACGTGGCTTATTCTCACTCATACAAGCATACAGTTTGGTTCACCCAGAACCCTTAACTTGAAGCACAGACCCTGAACCTATCAGTTCTGGCTAACCAACAGACACCTGAACCTATCAGGTTGGTACTCGGACACACAGTAGTACCCTGTCTGACACACAGACTCCCACAACAGCTTCTTCTTCCCAGCTGCTGCTTCGTCACATCCCAGTGTCTCTCCGCATCTCCCCCTCACCACACACGCATCACATATTTATACAGTACAGCCCCTCCTCCTGATGTCCCGCCTTCCACTCCCCATAGGATGGAACTTTCCCTCCAAACCCATGACAGACAGGTAACATCAGTGCTGTATGTAACACCTGGTACCACTACTACTTTCAATCTGCAAGTCTCATCCACTACTTCGACCTCTGCCCAAGCCATTTTATATGCTGTTGAGTCCCCATGTATACATTTAGCAGTTAAATATTCTTCTAAGGTAGTCCTGCGCAAGCTTCGTACCAAAGTTTTGCCACATCCTGTATCAACCAATGCTTTCTTATTTTCTCCATTCACCCTCGCAACCACTTCCCAACCATTCTGTTCTGAACCCTGAACCTGCATTGCCTTTTGCGTTTGTCCTACCCAAGAATAATCGGTTCCTGGACACTCTCAGCGCATGTGTCCTTCCACTCCGCAGCCAAAACACACAGGCCATCCGTCTTGTCCTAGCTTCAATCCAGCGCCTTTTTCAAATAGATGGTGATAGAACGTTATGAGTCTCACCAGTTTGGGACGCATAGGTTAAAAAATGTGTCCTTGCGGCTTCATTGGGTCGGCAGTCTCAGAAACGCTTCACGGAGCGGCACCAGAGTTGCTGCTGCCGGTCGCCATCTTATCTCGCGCTCGCCCTCCATCAGCAAAGGGGGAGGAGCCTTCTTTCCAAAAATCTTCAGCATTACAAAAGTCTTCCACTAGGCCAATCGCCTCTTTGAGATCCTTCAGATTATTCTTTTGAATCTAGCTGTTTATATTAGTTCCCAAGTTTATATTAATCAAAGTGGACTCTTGTCTCAACAGTGTCTCACTCACTGCTGTGCTAGGCTGAACCTCTGTCAGTCGGTGGTCTTGCAGAGCAGGGCACTCCGCATCACACATACTGTACCACAACATGGGTGGCGTGCCCAATCTCTATCAGTGGAGAATTGTATTCCAGTCCCAGGTATCACTTTCTTGCCACGACCTTGTCCGCGAGGAAACACAATCACCATCCTTTTGAGTGTCTCATATGTTGTTTCACCTTCCTTAGGTATTTCGGGGTCCCGTAACAAACCTCCTACTTTTAAGTTAGGAAAAACCTTTAACAAATCCCGCGCTTGCTCATACTTTTGTTCGCTTTGACTTTCTTCTTCTTCTCATACACCTTCTTCCATCTGCTACCAAAAACCCTTCCTTCTCCCTCTTTTATATCCTCCTCCCAGACAGTTCCAACTCCTCCTCTTCTTTCCCTCCTCTCTCTTCCACCAAACAGATTTCTACATTCTTTTTCTCCTCCACTAACACACTTCTTATCTCTCCTGTCTCCTTTTCGCCCATCTTTTTCCTCTTTTGATGACCCTGGCGTCGAGGACAGCACACTTACCTCCTCATCTCCTTCACACCTAATACATTCAGCAACAAATATCGTACCCATCTGTGGACGCCATTACTAGGATGTTCTATCCTCAACAATAAAAATGACAGGACAAGCTAGAGCAAGCTTAGAACTGGCAGACAACAGTAGGGAGGCACTCATTGCTACACTGAAAATGCTTACAACAACCCTAAGGACTCTTGGTTTGATCCTAATGATGCAGCATCATTATTTAGAGCAGGGTGGAAAACTGCTAAATGTAATTCCAGATGCTAAAGCAACTCCCATCATCACCCACTATTCTAGTAGGGAGTGAAAGACCAATAATAATAGGAGGATCACATCGTTTCTAATCCTTGATTTACACCTAACCCCCATTCTAGTAGGGAGTGAAAGACCAATAATAACAGGAGGATCACATCGTTTCTAATTCTTGATTTACACCTAACCCCCCCCGCCAACACCACTGGCATCTTTACATTATGTTAGCGCATTCTAGCCACTCTGTTAGCACACACCTGGGACATTTAATAAACACAAAGAGAATTGGGATTGTTTACATACCGTATCTGCTGTAGGTATCTCTGAAAATAAACAGTGAGGTGGAATCCAGTCAGGAAAGTCATTCTGCTTACTTTCCTCTTTGATGCTTTTGTTATAGTTACCCGTCCTACAAAATCAAAAAGTTCCATTTTTGAAAAACAAACCAACTTCAAGGATCCTTTCTCTAATAAAACACTACCTTCCATTGTCACTTAAACTTCTGTAACAGGACCCTTCCTAAATTTGAAAAAATGCATACCAAATTACAATTCTGATCCAAGAGTGATGGTAAAATACAGTGGTACCTCGACTTACAAACTTGATATATATTGGAATGGTATTCATATGTCAAAAAGTTCATAAGTCGAGGCAAACTTTTCCATAGGAATGCATTGAAAACCATTTAATCTGTACCTGCTGTTTTCTGTTCGTATGTCGAGGCGCTGTTTGTAGGTAGAGGCGTTAGTTCCCATAGGAACTAATGCAAAGCCAGTTAATCCGTACTCTACCACGGGGGGGGGGGGTTAAAATGTTCTTTTTTTGACCTAAGATGAACTTAGGTCAAAAAAGGGGCAGGAAAGGGTTTTTTTTGTTCCTAAGTTAAGGCTCCGTTCACAAGTCGAAGCAACTTTCTGCGAACGGAGCTGTTCGTAACTCAAATCGTTCGCACCTAGGGACGTTTGTAAGTCGAAGTACCGCTGTAGATGCTAACTGTTGCCTTGTATTGACTGCAGAATAATAAAGGGTTATACGATAGCAACCCATTTTATTTCTGCAGCACACCAAATCACTAGGAAATGGAAAAGACAAATGTTTCGGACTGAACAAAATCTATTTGCGGTCAAATAATAAAATCGAATTAATACATTCCATACACCAGAGGTGGGTGAACTTTATGCTTATATGATACACTCTATTACCAGAACCTCTGTTTACCAGATAGCGTTGGGTGCAAAAGATATGTTCTTATATATAAATAACACTGAACCCAGAAATTGTATTTGTTATACTCCTTCAGCCTCATTTTCACACAACTTTATACCATCAAGATACCATCAAGAATAGCCATTTTGTTATTATTTTCAAAAGTGGAATTCAGAAATCCTTGCTGCTCTATAGCAAAATCATTCTGTGAATTACCAAGAGACCACCCAATGTATCTTTATCCTGTTGAACACGGGAAGATCCACTAGGAACATGTTTGAGTGGTTCACACTAACATCGCCCATACTTTCGATCATCAAAATAAATTCAAATATAGGCTTACTGTTTACATCTTTGCAAACTCTTGTAGCGAACTTTTTGTTCAAAATCCCAAGTCACCTACAAAAAAAGACGTGATGAAGCATTTCTTTACTTTTACTTTATTTAGATTTATATCCCGCCCCTCTAGACAAAGTCTACTCGTATTTCCAATAAGAATAAAATAGCTGCCCCATTATTTGACTGTTATTAGCATATAATTTCTTTAGAATATTTGATACAACACATGGAGGGGAGAAATTTACATGCCCACGTTGAACCAGTCCGATCAGGTATTTCCCCATGATTACTACTCTCCCTAAGAATCCCACAGACTAGCATACCACAAGACTTTTTTTTCTATTTGTGCCAAAATATACACTTTACTGCAACCACATGCAATCAATACTGCAAATCTGCACATTTATTTGAAAGCACCACTTTTAGGAAGCGAGAATGTACAGTATATACTTTTGTGGCTTTAGCCACCTGATAAGAAGTTGATGTTACAGCACATGCACAGGGATCAGTATATTTTGAAACAGTGGTTCCCAACCTTGGGGCCCCAGAAGTTCTTTGACTAAATCTTCTAGAAGACTTCATCACCAGCTGTGCTGGCCAAGATTTCTGTGAGTTGCAGCCAGTGTGAAAACATCTGGCGACCCAAGGCAGGGAGCCACAGTTCTAGAATCCTGAAGTAGTATTACATTTTAAACACCTCTAGCTCTTTTAATTTGTAGAAACAGAAAAAAAAACCACATACAAGCTAGATGTATAAATCACCTTCTATATGTCAGCATTTTATCCAGTCATTGCAAAGTCTTTGGCATTTACTGTGCTTTTAAACTGCAGTTTTTTATTTAGCCATTCCTCTTCACCAGAGGTAACAAGAAACAGCAACATGCATGAGCATACCTCCTTGCCCTGGCTTATCAGAACATCGAAACCAGGCCTCAAGTGGCCTTTAGCTACAGCCTCAGTTTTGCTAATACCCTCCCCTTATAGCAATTCAATTACTTTTGAAATGTAGCCATCATTGTCCTCACAGCTGCTGGAATTCTGGAAATATAAATCTAAAAAGAAAACACATTAAAAAAGGAATGTTAGGATGTTATTTTTTTTAAATGTGACAAATGTTTTTAATTTAAACAAAGTACCACACATTAGAATAATCACAATTCAGAGGTGGCATTTTGACGGTGGCTGTTTTAATTAATTATAAGCAATCACAGGATTCTTTGAGACCAAGGTCCCTCTGAGAAAAAAGGGACAGGAAAAAAATACTGGTTTTTGCCTCTAGCCAATTTAAACACTTTTCTCAGCCCCTGCCAGTGCTCTCATAGCCTCAAAGACTATAATCCTATACAGTGGTGACCCACATAGTGATGATAATCCGTTCCAAAAAAAATCATCGCTATACGGATTTGTCGCTATGCGGGGCAAAAAAGCCCATAGGAACGTTTAATGCGTTCCTATGGGCAAAAAACTCACCATTCTGCGGAAATCCTCCATACGGCCGCCATTTTCGCTGCCCGGTAAGTGAGGAAAGGGCACGAAAACACTGTAGGTGGCCATTTTCTTTACCCGGCGGCCATTTTGGAACCACCGATCAGCTGTTTAAAAAACATCGTTATGCGATAATTGCTAAGCGAAACGCTTACCAATCATCCCAAAGCGATGTTTTCCCATCTAAATCATTGCAATGTGATCACTTTTGCGATAGCAAAAACCTCATCACTATGCGGATTCGTCGTTAAATGAATCACTCGTTATGCAGGGCACCACTGTATATGTTTACTTTGAAAGTTTCAGCATTCTTCTGCACTTTTTCCAGTTCCAGGTCTTTTTTTAGGTGCGGCAATCAGAACTGTTTCCAATACTCCAGGTGCGGCCTTACCAGCGTTTTGTACAATGGCATAATGATGGCTGTTTTTTTTTAACATTTCTGTTCTTAGAAAAATGTTATTTATTCAGGCACAAATGTATGGTTTTGAAAGCTACAAGACTGAATATCTAGGACAGTATATTCTAGATAGAAAAATTACCCAAAATAATCCTACAGAAACTCTGGGAGAACATAAAATTGGGACCCTACTCAACGAATTACTGAAATTCACTTCCTTTCCCTCCCCAAACACTCCACGAATATACAGTCTCATACTATATAATTAAAAAACTAATCCATATTCCATGATGAATAATCTTTGGGATGCAATGTACAATACGTCAAACAGAAATCTTCAGATAGATTTTTCCTCTAAAAGCCGTTTAGTAAACAAAATTCCATTTAAAATTTTAAATTTTTATCCACCTTAAACATAACATAATTAATAAACACATCTAATAAACATTGGATAATTTTCATCTAATAATAGGCAACAGCAAGAGCACCTGGGGATGATAACGTAAAGTTTTTCATAGTATGTGTTGAGAGGCAACAGATGCGAAGTTGCCTGTTCTCAGAACCTGTTGCTGTAAAAAAACCCACTTTCTTAGGTTAATTTGGTTCTTCCAACTTCATTTCACAGCCTATAAAGTGATTTCCAATCTACCTCTCTCTGTGTGTGCAGGTTTGACTTTCCTGAGGCTCTTTCCATATTATAATCCTTGCATTCTCTGGTTTCTTCAAGATATTGAAGGAACAATACCAAACACACCGCCACATATGCTTATGGAAGGATGAGTTTCACATTAGATCGATGTGAAACTACTGGAAAATGATTAGATCACATCTATGTCCATGTAGGTGAGGGATGTGGTGGCGCTGCGGGCTAAACCGCAGAAGCCTGTGCTGTAGGGTCAGAAGACCAGCAGTCGTAAGATCGAATCCACACGCCAGAGTGAGCTCCCATTGCTTGTCCCAGCTCCCGCCAACCTAGCGGTTCGAAAGCATGCAAATGCAAGTAGATCAATAGGGAGCACCTCGGTGGGAAGGTAACAGCGTTCCATGTCTAAGTCGCACTGGCCATGTGACCACGGAAGATTGTCTTCAGACAAAACACTGGCTCTATGGCTTGGAAACGGGGATGAGCACCGCCTCCTAGAGTCGAACACGACTGGACCAAAAATTGTCATGGGGAACCTTTACCTTATGTCCATGTAGTGAGCCTTTAAAATAATATATTCCATAGTTTGCTAAGCTACCATATCACAAAAAAATGAATTCAATTTAAAAATGGAATTGAATTAAAAGCTGAAGACTTTTCTGTAAGCATGCAAAAGTCTGTCTCACCATCTGTGATTATGAATTCAAAGAGGAATGGATTCTTTGGTTTTCTGAGCTGACCTCTCATCCCTCCCAATTTCATAGAATCTATCTATCTATCTCTGTGGATATGTGGACGCAAATATTAGGATCTATGTTTTTGTGTTAGGGTGGCACAGCAAAGTACAGGATCTATGGTTTTTATAATTAAGTTTTGGGGCACAACAGCGGGTTATGATCTGACAGTAATTGTGTATGGATCCCATATTTTTAAAAGGACGGCTTTATTATAATCCATGCCTCAAAGTAATCTTTTCTTTCTTATCTCTCTCTCTCTCTTTTTGTTCTTTTTGCCCTGTCAGGGCTTAGTCTATGAAGACAATCAATAAGCTTTCTTTTAGGGTAAATTGAGTGACCTCCTTAGATTAGAAAAGCCCTATAAAATCAAGAGGATCCATTTCCTCATTGAGTCAACTTGTCATATTCTTTTTTAAATCAGTAGGTTAAAAACACATATTATTTATATCTTGGAAAAACTGTTCACCCAGGCCTTTTAACTTAATACTCTCCTTAAATGACATATTAATTCAGCCTCTATTAAGGAGAAAAAGCGCCCATGTGGCAGTGCAGGGACACAATGGGGTGAGTGGGGGGGAAAGTGTTGCACCAAAACCGGTGTAGTAAGACAAGTCAGGAAGGCAGCAAAGAAAGGGGGGATCCCTATGCCATTTCGGCCCATTCTACCCCAGCTCCAAAAGACAAATTTCTTTTTTAAAAAAGAAGCACGTTTAATTTGGGCGCCAAAGTTTAGAAAGCAGCTGCGCAATGGAATTCTCCAGAAAACTCCTCCACAGGGGGCGCTTCCCCGCCACCGAGCACACTCGCCTCTTCTTCGGGTAGTAGGCCTTTCACAAATGGGGTTGCGTAGGTGCAGAAAGGCACAATAGTCGCATAAATACCATCCCCAAGGTGAACGTATGAGGATACTGGTGGGGCTTTTCTGCCTCTCCCCATAAGTCCCCTCATCTACAATAACGGAGACCGTATAATCAAGTTTCTCCCTGAATTTCGTTTTAACTCCAAACGCATTCACCAAGTGGTAGTTGGGAAAATAATACCCTAATAATACGGTGACTGGGCTTATTTCGAACTAAGCATGCGTAGGATCGGCGCTTAATCCCGGGAAAAGATATAACGCGCCCGCGCCCAATCTTGCTTACAAGGGGGCAATAGGGGGGCAATGTTGTGTTCGTGGGGTTTTATTTCTAAATTACGAAATTATGCCTGTTTTACTTGGGAGTAAGTGGCGTGGACCGATCGTGGACATGCTCATTCAGAGAAGTACGCCTGCAAGGTTTCGGGTTGCTGAATAATGTTGCAGCCTCCACTGGGAAAGTTGTGCACGCTCCCTTAGGGAGCAAGTCCCGTCAAACTGAGCTCGAAACGTACTTCCGAGTAACGCATTTCTGTTTTCATGGGAAGGACCTTCGGATACAAGAGAGAGTCCTCCAACCTAGGCGTGAAACCCCACTTGATTACAACCTACCAGAGGCTACCCGTCGAATCGACCTTCCGCGTTGCCGGAATCCCTCGAACGGACTTTTCCGCTGAGTCTTGCCTCGTCTACTCTCGAGAAAATCGGAGAACGAAGCCATCGCCCTTTTCTCACCCCGCGCCGCCTTTTTCGTGAAATGGTGCAGGCGACCAGGCGGCACGTGCCCTTCACTCTTTTCTGTATTTCCACCCGCCTCCCGGGCTGGTGCGTTTCAACCAATGAAAACTCTTGCACGGTCTTTCGGTAGCCAATCAATGCACAGCGAATAGCGGTCACGTCGCTTATGCTTTATTTTTCCCCGGATCTGAGGGAGGTCTTAGCAAAAAGTTTGAGTGGAAACTGTAGGGGCGCTTCTTTCTGTTGCGTTTCTTTACAAATTAATAACAGGTTCGCAGTTATAGGACGTAATGGATTCCCCAACCATTTTCTTGGCTTTTCATATTTATACTTACTTATTTGAATTTTACCACTTAAGAAACTGGAACCTTTACCTTTACCTTTACCTAAGAAACTTTGGCTTCCTGGATGGTTTATTTATTTATTTGAAATATTTTTTACTCCACCTTTCTCCTTAAAAACAACCCAAGGTGGCTTACATCATTCCACAATACGTAGAAAAAAACATTAGGTATACAAATATTTGAAAAGAATTAAACAAGGATTACATTAAAAACAGTAATAAAATCAACACAAAAACACATTTAAAACAACAAAGCAGAGCCATTCATTTAAAAACCCCTCAGACCACCAGTTCCTAAGGGAAAAGCCTGTCTGAACAGAAAGGTCTTTGCTTGCAGAATTCGAATATGATTTCACACCTCGCAGTCTTCTGTGGGGCTAATGGACGTTATAGGAGAAAGCCAAAGTTTTCTTTGATTTAATCACTATAATTCTGTACCAAACAAGGTTTAATCCAACTAAAGCTTGCTCAGATTAAAAGGGTATCAATTCTGAGCTTCCCTACCCCTCTCAGAAAGTTCCTAAAGAAAAAAGGGAGACTCCAAACCTGAAAAGGAGGATAGGAAGTGTCTAATTAATTTAAATTTTACTGGCACCAGCTGAGTTTAGCCTCTTCTACTAGCATAAATTTGCATAACAGGATTTTGCCCATTAATTGTTTTCCAGTCTGCCAGTGTGTGTGGTGGTAACATTTCTGTTGTATGTTATTTCCACTTCCTCTAGCAAATCTGATTGTTGTCCTAAGTGAGATTAATCAAGAGTAATATTGAAAAAGTGGCCTGTTTTTAACATTTCTCCCTATAAATTGAATAAAGGTAGTCTCCACGATATGGAACGCGTACATGAAATAGGACCTCTTTTGTACTATTTTTTGACTGGAATGTTACACTAAGCACTTCCAAACTGGTACTGTACTTTAGGTAGGGCTTGGATTTGGCAGTTGTCTTTACAACTCTAGCCACTTCTAATTTATGGCAACTCTGTAAGGTTTTTGGGGTTATGTGAGATATTAAATAAGTGGTTTGATCACTGTCGCCCCACAGTGAGTTTGCAAACCCAGAGATTTGAACCAAGGTTTTCTTCACCCTGTTCTCTAATCTAACCACTATATCACACCAATCCTTTTTACAAGTGGGATTTGGAACAAAATGTGTTGTTTCTTGGACAGCAGATCTCTATATCATATAAGAAGCTGCTTTTGAAATTCCATTTAAGAAGACATTTCCATGGGGAGCAGTTCTTGCTGTTTGAGAAGTACATGAATTCAAAGCCAATTTAAATATACAGAATTAATTGGGTACTTTGCATGCAGGAAACCATAGTATGTGCCTTTGAAAAATGGGGGATAGAATATCCTGATGGTGAGATACAAAAAATCTAATATCTAGGACAGTCACCTTTCCTCAACCTACCTGGATTATTCATTTATTTTTGTCCCACATTTCTTGCAAGACATTGGATGAAAGGTGTTGTAATTTACATTGTATTTTCTTTTATTAATTAGAGGTACAGTATTTATCTATTTATCATATCTCAATGATAGTAGTAAAATGTTTGACTTATTCAATCAGGCAGAAGCCTCGTAAAAGCAGGCTATTGTTCTCACTTGATGTCCCACATTTCTTGCAAGACATTGGATGAAAGGTGTTGTAATTTACATTGTATTTTCTTTTTTTAATTAGAGGTATTTATCTATTTATCATATCTCAATTTATGAGTGCACTCAGAAATGAAGCATAGCCACTAAAATGAGAAAAGCACGTCAGCTAAAACTCAGTATCCAAAAAGAATTATAAAAAAATCAACATTCTTTAATACCACATAAACAAAATTCTGAAAGCAAGCTGTAAAACAATATCTAGTCACTAAATATGAAATAATATAGTCTTGACTGCCCTTTGAAAATATATCTAGGACAAAACCAGCCTGACTTCTCTGGGGAGGGAGCGTCACAGTCAAGGTACTGCTTCAAAAAAATCTATATAAGGGAGCGTCACAGTCAAGGTACTGCTTCAGAAAAAGCTATATAATGGATTCGGATTGAAATCATTCTATCATTTTTGAGATTGTATCCCAAGACAGCTTTTCCCGCTCTTTTGTTGACTATGAGGACTACTCCATTTCTTCTATGGGATTCTTGCCCACAGTTGTAGATATGATAATCGTCTGAATTAATTCACCCATTCCCCTCCATTTTAGTTCACTAACATCCAGGATGTCAATGTTTATTCTTGCCATCTCCTGTTTGACCACATCCAGCTTACCAACGTTCATAGATCTTACATTCCAGGTTCATATGCAGTATTTTTCTTTGCAGCATTGGACTTTCCTTTCACTTCCAGGCGCGTCCGCAGCTGAGCGGCCTTTCGGCTTTGGCCCATCCATTTAGTTAGTTATGGAACTATTTGTACTTGTCCTCCATTCTTCCTCAGTAGCATGTTGGATGCTTTCCGACCTGAGGGGCTCATCTTCCAGCGTCATATCTTTTAGCCCTTTGTTTCTATCTATGGAGTTTTCTTGGCAAATATACTGGGTGTCCCTGCATGGCATAGACCATAGCTTCTCTCAATTACTCAAGCCCCTTTGCCAAAACAAGACAACAATCCGTGAAGAAGAAACTACAGAACTACACAACTTTAGTTATGATCAAGGCAGCAATCTGTGAAGGGGAAACTACAGAACTACACAACTTTAATTATAATAATGAAGAAATTGAAATAGTGATTTTGTATACCTTGTGTTACATACAGCTGTGACATCACCTGCCCGTCACTGCTGAAGCTGTGTGTCATCTACCAATGGCGTGATGGAGGGTGGGACATAAGGGGTGGAGCTGTTGTATATAAGGGGAGAGAATGGTGTGAGAGATTCAGATAGGGCCAGATAGGGAGATAGGGCCAGTTAGGGCTTTGGGATAGGGTTGAGATAGGGAGATAAGGCTTGGAGATTGTGAGATAAGAACTGTGCTATATAGTGAAGGTCTGTGAGAGTGTCTGTGTGATTGTTATATTATTATAGTGATTGCTTTATTATTTATATTCTAGTGATTAACCATTCCTTTTGTTTGTACACAATAAACCTAAGTTTTTATTTTGAAATCATACTTTGACCTGAAGCTTTATTTGAGGGAATGGTTGGTGGCAGTGGAAACGAAGAGTGATTGAGTGTGACATAACGGCCCCTTTGTGAGGTAGAAGGTGGCTGTTACAATAAAGTTGTCATTTCTTAGCTGCATTAGACTGTAGCTAAAAAATCAAAAGAAGACTGAGAGTCAGAACGACAACAATGAAAGAATTAGAAAAAAACATAGATTTTGAGTTCGAAGAGGCCTATAAGTCCACCAAGTCCACCTCCTGCTCAATGCAGGAATCTCAATCAAATCAGATTTTACAGATGGTTGTCCATTTTCTTCTTAAATGTTTCCAGCATTGGAGAGTTCACCACCTCCCAGGGAACTGGTTTCATTGTTGTACTGATACTTAAAATGTTTTTCCTAATACGTATTCAGCCTAAATCCGGCTTCCTATAGGTTGAACCCATTATTATGTGTCCTGCATCAAGTACAGGCATTCAGTACCTCAGTTTACGAAATGAATGCGTCCTCCGGGACATTATGTAATGTGGAAATTTCGTAAACCAAAACACCGATTGCGCTACAAATGGAGGCAATGTTAGAAACCTCCAGGCCCATCCTGGGCAAACCCTTTCGTACAGCAGGGGAAAAATTGAAAAAAATTTAAACAGGGACATTATTTTCTATGGATTTTGGTTCATAAACCAAAAATTACGTAAGCCGAGGCGTTCGTAAACCAAGGTACCGTTTTATAAAAATAATCAAGTGTAAAGATTTGTCACTGGTGACCATGAATGGGCGTGAAAGCTGGATAGTTAAGAAAGTTGACAGGAAACAGATTTGCTTGAAATATGGTGCTGGAGGAGAGCTAGCTGTAGCTTCGAAGGGCAAAGCCATAATAAGCGAGTTACAGGCAGTCTTCACTCATTTTACCCTCACATGAACCTTCAGAGGCAGGTGAGACTGAGTGCGGCTGGCTATTTAGGTGGTGACTATGTGGTCAAATACTGTGGAATTTACTGAGGGTGTAAAATGGATTAATTCAATTCCCCTCCCCCCCACTGGTGGCATGATTCAAAGGTCAGGCCTCTTTTGCTCCCAATGTGATTTTTTTTTCTGCCACTGGAGACTTCTAGAAACAATTCAAATGAACTTTTCCCCATGTGATCAGCTTTTTTGTTCTCCAAAAGGATGAGTGTGTGTGACTATGGTGACTAGGCGTGGTGTTCTGGGGATGCACGAAGCTGTGTGTGATATTTTGGGCGGTGTGAACACTCATTCTTGCAATCTTTCTCCCTAGTCACTGAGAACTACTTTGAATTTTTTTTCAGCAAAATTCCAAGTTTATCACGAGATCCCTTTATCACTACAGTATATTGATATACTAGTTTAGTGTTCTATCAACTCTGCATACAGAAAAATAATATAAAAATCAATATGAAATAGAAACAGCTCCAACAAACAGCTAATATGTTTGTGTGTACAGTTGGTATGTGTGTACAATAGGCCCGTGGTATCCACAGGCGAACATTTCCAAGCCCCCGTGGATGCTTGAAAATCTGGAAGTATCAAACATTATACATTGCCTGATCTCTGGCTCTATCTAGTAGCCAGTTCTGGTAAACACACCTGGAATTAA